ATTTCTAAAATATACTTGGGTTTAGTACTTGATTTTGCCAAGTACTTTACCCCAAGTACTTCACTCAGTATTTTAAATACTCTTGAATTATGAAAGTGGAAATTTCAAATACTTTAGTCTCTATTTTACGAAGTTTTCACATCTCAAAATAGGGACTGTTAAATACTTGAAGTTATTAATTCAATTATTTGATTAGATGTATTTTTATAGTAAAATCGTGTTTGTTTCCTGTGAGGTTATATTTTGATCTCTGATTATGGATATCTTATTCACAATACGACGTACATTTCATAGGTACTTGCAGAATGCCGATAGGTAGGTAAGAAAATTAATGTCATAAATATGTCATTTGAGAGTCGATGACGACAGCAGAAGGGTCGGAGATCTGTGTAAAATTTTCAGCGATGTAAAGTTGTGAATATATGAATTTTGTCTTTTTTGTATTTTGGTCTGGAACTTAACTTTGCGGGTAGTCTTTCAGTACCTTCCCGGTACCCCAAAGGGAATCGGGTTTGTTGACGTACCTGCTAAAGTGCAACGTCGGATTTGAAAATATTTGAGCAATGATTCAGTACTCGTTCAAAAAGATATTTATTCTTTTATTAGTTTCTTAACTCCGCCGTGTATTTGTCAGTAAGAAGCCTGGTCAGGGCGGAGAACTCGGCAGGGGATTATCCCTTTTATTATAATAGCAATAGCTGATGGCAGGTACAGACTTTCATATTCGCCTCTTCCTCCTAGAATTTAAACAATTTTATGTTAAATATTTTGCAGTTTAATTTTCTTTATCATGTTAGACACTCGTTTTTTACCAAATTTTCTTTTTTTGTTTATACATGGTTCAGCCATATAAACTTAGTTTGTTATTACTACTTATATTTTCTCACATTACAGTTTCAAATAATTTTTTAAATTGTATGAATTATTTGAACACCAACAATTTAAAAAGACGTAATGCAGAAAAACAATGATTTTAAAAGTCACACTAATTAGTGTCATTAACTTTCCTGTACGGATTTTATTTATTACCGTACAACAACTTGACGTATTACATTGCATCGCTTATTACATAAACCCAATATTGTTCAAAATGAAATATGTTTTGTGAAACTCGGCTCGTAGTACCAATGTTTTTGTAATCCAGTTGATACGACCATGATTTTATGGTTTTGATGAGTACCGAATTGTACTTTGATATTGCTCGAAGGACCTTTGTTTCGTTGTGTGTGAAATAATAGACAGCGTTCGGTTTCGATGTTTCAATACAGGACGGTTACAGAAGTACTGAATTTACATTTGTATTTACAATATCAGGTAAAGATACCCAAAAGGGTCAGTGGCCGCTTCCGTAAATGGTATATGTATCGCACAGCTCTTAAAATTTTTTTCTGAAAAATTTCAGTTTCACATATCCGGCCCTGTGCACTCTCACAATGGGTAATGATTAAGGGTGCTGTAAACTACCCACAAACTTAAACACAGAACCGGTTCATAAAATTCATATATTTTTAACACAACTTTATTAAAAAATCAGAACGTTTTGGTGGTGAAACAAAATTCAAAATATCAAAAAAAGGCAACAGAAGCCTGAGAGAATACCATACAGCGCCGATGTTTTTGTTATAAATTAATAGTAAGCATAGATAGACAACGCCGTCATGTATTTTATTTTAAATTTTAAATTAGAAATAGACGTTAATTTTGTCGAAGGCATTGTGTCAACAGGGAGATGTAAAAGTATTTCAAAAGAATATTGTTTATAAATAACATAGTATTATTAATAAGTGAGCTACCATTCTGCATTTAAGTTGATGCTTATGCAATTTTTTATGTGACGAAATATGTATTATTGTATACTTAAATTCTGAGTATTAAAAAATTCAGTTCTAAAATATATTAAGCTTTTTTAAAAAAACAGGAAAAGTTATCTAATTCTACAGTATTTCAAATAATTAGAAAGTACTTGAAGCATTTTCAGTACTTCAAGTATTTGTAAGTACTTGAAGTATACCTTCAGTACTTCAAGTACTCGTAAGTACTTGAAGTAATGTACTTGGCTTGTACTTCAAGTACATCTGAAAAGTACTTGATACTTGAAATACTTTTGCTGAAAGTAAGTACTTGGTACTTTACTTGAACACTATTTCAAGTAGTACTTTGTACTTGGTACTTCAAGTACTTTTTTTGAGTACTTTGAACAGCTCTGAGCATGGCGCAGCGTCAGTCTGAATGCGTTTGTGTGAGTGTAAACACGTGGTAAGAGCTAGTTTAAATTAGTTGGTTTTGGTAGTTAATAAAAAGGAGGAAGCCTTTGTTTCATGACAAAGGCTTCCTCCTTCGCTACCGGCGTCACTCTGTTGTCCCCAACCCGCGCGGTTAACCCTTGCGGCCTTTTTAATCGAAAAATTGCGGACTTCAGTTCAACGCGAAGCACGTGCTGTAAATTAGCTTTATTGTTTGAAAATTCAGCAATTAAGTTAGTTTTTCTTAATCGTCAGTTTGTGCTAAAACAATTTAACAATCAGGATTATTTAAATAAACCACTTGCAAGAAGATTTCATGAAATTCACTTAGTCAGGAAAACACCTTGTTGTTTAATTACGAATAAGTTTCTGGATGCATATACGTAAGTGTTACATTATAACACTTCTAAATTCTTCACACAAAATTGCTAATAGTTCATTTACGGCAGTTAAACAAGTTCATTATACTGCAAACTGGCGGGGGGTTTGAAATAATTTCTTCCCTTAGGCGGTTATCATCGTTATTATCGTCGTTATCGTGACTACATCACTGGGGCATGTCCTCATCATGTTAAAGATTGTCCTCGCGACGCCATAGATTGATTACATCATCGAGGCATGCCTTCACAAGGCTACAGATTAATTACTTCATCGAGGCCTGCCCTCACAACGCTACACATTAATTACTTCATCGAGGCATGCCCTCACAGCGCTACAGATTGATTACTTCATCGAGGTTTGTCCTTGCAACGCTAGAGACTAATCACATCAACGAGGCTTATTCCTTCCACCGCTAAAATATACATCATCGAGGCAATTCCTCGCAACAATTTAAAATTTACATCACCGAGACGCTTTTTCCCTCGGAGCGATGATTGGATATTTTGGTGTTTGTTTATTATGTGTTTTGTTGGGGTAACTAGTTCGCGGTAACTCTCAAAGTAAATTGTTTTTTTGAAGTAACCAATCACTTGGATTATGATATAATTTGACATGATGTAAACTCTTTGGTGGAATCGTTGATAAAGTATGGCAAATATTAACCTCATGTAAAGGCCATGATATAATTTGACATAATGTAAACTCTTTGTTTGAATCGTTGATAAGGTGTGGCAATTATTAATCTCATGTGAATTTTGTTAACTCTGCAATTTTCACCTCGTACAATATTTCTTTACTCTTCCGATTTTAACCTCAGTAATTTTCCTTTGTTGTATAATTTTTAATTGAACGTAAATTTCATGTTCTAAAGTTTTAACCTCACATAAAATTTTTATTTGCACAAGTTGATTTCACACCAGATCTTTTGTTTCATAAATCTTTGTTAAATTTTGTTTTATAAATATTTTGTCGATGAATGTTACCATCGTATAAATTATCTGATGACAAATTTTAATCTCACATAAGAATTATTTGTTGTTTAAAATTTCACAAGATGGTATGGCGAATTTAAATATTGTTTATTGCTCTTTGAAACTGTAATGTTGTAACGTTCTAGGCTTCGTGGTAGCCTAGATCCACCTACGGGTCTGGCGACCGTCATGGCCTAGTTTCGCACAGCATGATCGTAATGGAGGTGTGAGTGCGGGTAGGCTTCGCGATAGATAGAATCACTGTCGTGGGGGGAGAACAGCCCCAAACCGGTAACCCCAAACTCCGCTTGTGCTAACACGCCCCAGGGGTACTTTTCTTGTGCTCCTGTTAACTGCTGTAACTTTAAAAATCTGCCGCCACACGCCCGTAATAACTTGTGAATTTGCATCCAGTTACTTAATTCAGATTTTGCTTTGTTTTTATTAAATTTGTGGTATTCAAATATTTGCACTGATTCCAAACAGATGTATAGAATTTTGTGTTTGTTCGTTTTTCGTATGTGTATGCTTGTCAATTCGCGAGTGTCTTTTCTTTCATATATCTTAAGGTGTTTGAAATTTAATATGTCCGGGAATATACGTAGGGAGTTTTTGCGGCTGAGGAGTAAATCTTCGCAGTTTTTCCTCCTGCGAGGGGGTGCCGTGGTAGGGCCCTCCAAAACAATTTTGTCTATTATTTATTGCGCTCTCGAATCACACGTAGTGTATGCTCACTTGTATGAACGAACGTGTTCCCGCCACTTTAAGAAAAAAAAAACACAACGTAGGTTCCGATTTATTAGACGATCATAGCCAAGGCCAAATTTTGAATTTTGATTTTTTTTTCGCGGTCCTTTCAAACTTTTTCAAGGTCAATGTAAAGGCGGGAAGTTTGGGTTATCACAATATGTATGATATGCTTTTATCTGTGAGAGTAGTAAGTTGCGTTTTTTAAGGTTTGTATAGACGTGATCAGAATGTAATGTATAATTAAAGAAATTAAGACTTCGTTAGTCATGCAGATGTCTGTATTCATACCATGACAACATGACGCAAACGATCATGACAAACACATCCGTTTCAGATATTACACTCAAGACCTCAAATGCGCCTGACAAAATACTTAGTAAAAGAATAGTATACTACATATTTTTCTAGTTGTCTCTTTATCTATTTTAACCATACGAGAGCGTGTGTATGACTGGGAGAACAAATTAATAAATTAAGAATATCCGGATAATCACACACTTGTGGTGATTCCACCGTTTTAGGTGAAACTAGAATAAAAAAGCTTTTATTTTTACAAGGCTACCGGATCCGTTTGAGATGTGTGTGGAAGCTTTTCACGAAAATATCTCTCCACTAAGATTTTTAATTGACTATTTATTGCATTATAAAAACTTACCATCGTATTGGTACTGGCCGAACTCGACCGATGATTACCCTTCGCAGGGTTAGCCGGAGATGGACTCTGACTCGAAATCTTATTCTCCGGCGGTCCACCGCCATTTTTCACACTAATCTCCAAATAACAGTGAGACTCTAAATGACTCTGCGCCCTCTTCTCCTCCATCACGATCTTCCTCGCCGCTTTAAATATCTTATAATACACCAGCATCATCACAGCCAACGGAATATAAAAACTACACAGCGTCGCGTAGAACTGATACCAAAAAACCTGCGACACCAAACACACCTCGTTGTTAACTTGTCCGTTTTCCTCCGTTTCCGTATGTTCGTTACCGATGATAACTAACGGCGGAAGGGAAATGCACGCCGCGAACACCCACACGAGAATCACCCAGAAGATCATCCTTTTGGGGGTGCGTTTGACGCCATATTCCAGGGGCTTGGTGATGGCGTAGTACCGGTCCACGCTGATCATGCACAGGTTGAGGATGGAAGCGGTGCAGCTGAGCACATCGAAGCTGACCCAGAGATTGCAGATGACTTCGCCGAAGATCCAGCGACCTTTGATTTCGTAGAACATGGCCATGGGCATGACGAGGACGGCCACGCACAGATCGCTCACGGCGAGGCTGACGAGGAGGTAGTTGCAAGGGCGGCGAAGTTTGCGCACCTGGGGAAGGTGCAAGAATTAAAAACAAGATCGTACAGAAAGGTGTTTAAGCTACACATAAATCTCGTAATGGCAGTTAAAATCTGTTGTCCACGTACTATTAAAAGACCACTCTTCTTGAGCTAATAGTGATGGTTTCACCGGGGATTATTCACTGGATGTGCCTATCGTCCATTTTCAGAGCCTCACTATTTGTAGAAAAATGTTGCCAAAACCAGTTGCGTATCTTTTTTACATAAAAATCAACACCAAAACTGACCAATTTCGATGATTGGCAAAAAAGTTGTATCAAAAAATTTTTAAAGTGGGGAATGTAAAGACACATTAAAAGTTAATAGTTACGAAAAAGATTGGTGTTGTTGTTTTTTTTTAATAATTTATTGATGTAACGTGAAGTTGTGCAAACAATAACAGTTAAAATTTTCGCTTTACTTTACGAAATTCCCGGGAGTAAGCTAAGGATGTATTGTAAAAGGGTCCATCAGGCGATTTTCACGTTTTCTCAATGTTTCATGATTCCAAGAGTAGGAAAAAATACGTCTCCCATTTCCATCTGTCTGTTGTCTCATTGTCTCTACGTCTGTCGCCTGTGTCGATTTTTATTAATAAACAATAATTTCCGAAACTACTGGATTAATTTTTGTCAAATTTTATAGATACTATAGAAATATCGTTTACACGGTTTTAGGTAAAGTACTAACTAAAGTTTGTCTGATCATTCCTACCACCAATTTTATGACGTGAAAATTTACTCCTACACTTCTGTAAGCCATCTTGATTTTTCACTCTAGTCGTCCAAAAATGATGTATAACTATATTCAGTTTCAATTCGAAACAACAAAACTGAATTCTCTGAAATACTGCAAACGCTTTAAGCATGATCAACTGTTAATTAAAATTTATCCGCCAAATCAATTCAATCTAAAATGTGCAAACTATTATGAGTTTCTCTTTTATCAATGCATTTATATTTTCTAAAACTGCTTACTACACAAGGTGAGCCAAAAACGTCAATAAATTATGATTAAAAATATATTTTACTTTTCAAATCACCCTTTTTCTCGAAATTTTAGAAATACAGTATTGAATCCTATTAGTATTACATTGCGCCAATCCAAATTGATATACGTCTCTGCTAAAATATGGACGTCATCACAAAATGTTGTAACGGAAAAACTAATTTCAAGTATATGTTTAGCATACTTCTTCACCTATGTCTTCAGAAGGGAGGAAAGTTCTGTTTAAATAAACCTAGATTAGTTTTTTCCATAAAACTGGATTTGTTTGATTGTACTTCAAGTCAAGGGAAGTTCTGTCTATTCACATGAGACCAATTTGTACAGTAATACAGTATAACCTCGATAATCCGAATTAATTGGGGAAATGTGTGTTCGGATTAGTGAATTTCCCAAAAATCTGAAAGGGAATTGAATAACAACTTCATATACTGCTGAAAACAAATTTCAAGAAATAAAGCTTAATTTTATTAAACAGAAATCAAGTATTCTTAACCAACAATAGATAATAATAGATACATTCGAAAAAATATTACTCCGTTACCATAACCACGCTATATTTTTGGTATCAACACGTCGGGATCTGTATCCCTGAATTTAATCAAAATTTTTAGATGATTTTTTTCAAAAATGAAATTTCCCATTATGTTTTCGTATTACATCCCTTATGCAAATTTCGACCCATTCTCCATGATTTTCGAAATTTAACTAAATACTTCCATGTAAATTTTGGGCCGCAGAAGTTACTTCTGGTTATATCTCTTCGATAACTTAAATCGTTTTTCCAAAATCGTCCATTAAAATATCGCGATTTTCAAAAATTTCAAAAAATCCGAATATCACACCGAATTTTCCGAAAATATTGCTCCGTTATCATAAACATGCTATATTTTTGGAATCAGCACGTCGGGATATATATACAGGGTGTTTCTTTTATTTGATACAACCCCTGTAACTTTTTTATTCTTGAAGATGAACCCGTAGTTCTTTAACCAAATTTGTATCATTCTCAAAGATTTATATGATGGTAAGCACACATTTTTATTATCACTGGCGGTAGAACTGGAAATGACGTCAACTTATTTTTTTTTAATGGAACACTAGGTATATTTTTGCATAAATGGAAAGATGGATTTTTTCACTACAAAAAATCACAAGCAACCAATATTCTAAAATCAATAATAAAAAAGTTATTTAGTAAAATATCTCCAAAATTTTCCGTTTATTTCAAAATCTAGTTGCTTGAAAAACAATTGAAAAATTGTTGCCATCACTAGATCTTTTAAAATGATACAAATTTGCTCAAAGAACTACAGATTTATCTTTAAAAATAAAAAATTTATAAGGGTTGTATCAAATAAAAGAAACACCCGGTATATCTGAATTTTTTCAGAATTTTTAGACAACTTTTTAAAAAATGGAATTTTACACTATGGTAGTACTAGCCAATAAGAAAATAAAAGGCGGGTGGGCCAGGCTAGTATTTGCCAAAATTAGACTTATTTTGACAAATGACCTACTCTTCTAAGAAAAGTTACTAGCCCCGCCCACCCACCCTTTATTTTCTTAGAAGAGTAGGTTATCTGCCAAAATCAATCACATCTTGACAAGTATGAGACTGATTTTTGAAAATGACATCTCCTCTAAGAAAATAAGGGTGGGTGGGCGGGGCTAGTACTTTTCAAGATAAGACTGATTTTGGCAGATGACCCACTCTTCTAAGAAAATAAAGGGTGGGTGGGTGGGGCTAGTACTTGTCAAGATTAGACTGATTTTGGCAGATGACTTATTCTTCTAAAAAAATAAAGGCTGGGTAGGTAGGGTTAGTACTTGCTAAAAATAATAAAAATTAAAAATCACAAAATGACAAATTCAAAAAATGACAAATCAGAAATTCAAAAACTGAAATATCAAAAAATTGAAAAAAAACAAATCTTATAAAATCGAATTCGAAATTCCAGTGGTAATTTTTTTTTTTTCGTTTTTCATCTTTTGAATATTTCATTTGATAATCTGTTTGACAATTTTGCAGTTTTTAATTGTAATCTTTTGATTTTTTAAGTTTTAACTTTACAATTTTGGAATTTTTTGATTTTTAATTTTTTAAGTTCTCAAGTTAAAATTTTTCCTTTTCACGATTTGTCATTTTTCGATTTTGTAACTAAAAGAACAAATTTATTCGAACCGAAATTCTGAAAAATCGAAAAATTCAATAATTGAAAATTAGAAACCAAATTTTCAGGTGTTTTAAAGTTACGGTAAACATGGTAATCGCTGATCAAAATTACTTTTAACTCCTTTCCAAAAACTTACTGACAAAAAATCAAAAATCGAAAATTTAAAAAAATAAACATCTATTTTCTCGATATTTTTAAACTGCCAAAAATTGAAAGACAGATCAACAAATTGAAAATTTAAAAGTGAGAAATTGAAAAATTCGAAAGTTGAAAAATCGAAAAACTGAAAAATTTGGTAGTACTCGCTACGATAAAATAGATTTTGGCAAATGATCTACTCTCTAAGAAAATAAAGGGCGGGTAGGTGGGGCTAGTACTTGCCAAATAACCTACCCTCTAAGAAAATAAAAGTCGGGTGGGCCAGGCTAGTATTTGCTAAAATAAGACTCATTTTAGCCAATGACCTACTCTTCTACGGCAATAAAGAATAGGTCATCTACTGAAATCACTGTGAGACTGATTTTTGCAAATGACATATCCTCTAAAAACATAAGGGTGGGTGGGCGTCACTAATACTTGTTAAAAAAAGACTGATTTTGGCAGATGACCCTAAAAAAGTAAAGGGTGGGTGGGCGGGGCTAGTACCTTTTCTTAGAAGAGTAGGTCATTTGCCAAAGTGAGTCTAATTCCGCCAAATACCAGCCTGGTCCACCTGCCTTCTATTTTCTTAGAGGGTAGGTTATTTGGCAAGTACTAGCAAATTTCCATCCATTTTCGATGATTTCCCAAATTTAACTATACTTTTTCTTGTATTTTTCGGGGCGCAGAAGTCATTTCCGGCCTCATTTCTTCGATAACTTCAACCTTTTTTACAGAATTAGTTAATTAATTCAGGGTATTGAAATATCTCAATTTTTAAAAACTTCAAAAAATTTAATCCAACACGTACAGAAAGAAGATCTTGTGTCATTTTTGCAAGTAGATGCATGTTTTCAAGTTCAGATTTTGTTGGGATTAAACAGATATCGACTTCAACTAGCGTCTCTTCGGATTACTGCATGTTCGGATAATCGTGGGTTCGAATTATAAAGGTTATACTGTATTTATGTCTTTAATTTTTACTTCCCGGGCGTAAGCTAATCGGGTTTATCGGACGAATGGACACTTTTGACTAACGTTTTTCCGTATCGACACTAGACACCAGATGCCGCGCTATAGAAAGAGAGAGAGAGAGAGAGAGATAAACTGGTGTGAACGTGTAGGTAAGCGAAGACAAACACGTCGGAGGTCACCAATGTAGGTAAATAGGCGGAATCGAACCGCACATATTGCGTTTGCCGGGCGGGTGTCTTGACCATTAGGCTACAGAGGACTGATCTTTACTTCGCTTACCCAGCTATTATTGTGCTACTACAAATGTAATCATGGCGCGCTGGATCGCCGCGACTCAGTAGCGAGTGATAATCACTGAATTTAGTCGTCACTTATTCCAAAACTACAATTAACGAAAACGTAATTAGTAAAACGGCTAAGTAAATGAGAACGGGAATTAACAGCAGCGTGCAACGACGCAACGTTATTCTATTCTCAAATAAACGAAGTGCAAGCCGTACCGAGTTTGACCTTGCCTAATGTTCATGATACCATTATTGTGACAATGAATAGTAGTGAAAGAAACTGAGAAAAGTCACAACAAATTTAGGTAAGTAACGTTGATTTTTTTGTAGATATCTGCAAATACTTTGAATAGAGAATTTGACCATAAGCTTTCTAATATAAAAATAAACAAATAATTTCTTTTATATGAGCACCTAAAAAGAAACTATTTAATATACTATTTAATAAAATGTGTTCGTTTGACTGTTCCAACGACTAAATTACGTACAACAGTTGATGCCGTTTTCACAAGCTTTATTACTCATTTAAGAACTGATATTTATTTTATATCACTCATTTTAGTCACCATAGACCACTAATAATAATTGTATTAAATGATAGGGATAAAGATACCGAAGTCGATAACGCTATGATTGAACAGTAATTTGTATTTTAAATCGAATAAGTTATAAATACTGCTCCAGCATTTGTAAACATTTACTTGTTCCTTTAGTTGGTAATTTACACATTGTACCTTAATTTTTTTATACAATATTATTATAATAATTAATTATGGTAGGTCTTAATCTTAAAAAAATATTATATTTTCTCGACGTTTCATGACCCCTACCGTACGAAAAAGCAGTCTCCCGTTTTTAGGCCTCTGTTTTGAAAAGACAATGTCATCAAAATCAGATTAATTTCTTCGTGACATTCTTTCGATGTATAAACATATATAAAAACTTGAGCTTCATATTGCTATTACCTAGTGCTGAAGGACATTTTATCCCGTTATTTAAGTGCTTGTCCGTACAGCGCAGGGGCTGCGGGGGTGTTATTTATGCCGCTGGTTTTTACTTTACAGGGGTTATTTGAAAACGAAAATCGTAAAATTAAATTTGAATATATTTTTAAAGAGCTGTATTTGTCGCAATACACTGCAAGGGCGACGGAAGTTCTGTCGAAATAGCCTTCGACATATTTTTTGTAAAATAAAATTAACTGCTTTTTGAACAGTTTCATCCAATGGATTACTTTATGTTTTCTTACTTCGACACACATTAGAGATTCTAACAATAAGTATTTTATTAATAATAAATCATTTTATACCAGAGGTAGCGAGTGTGTCCCAAATGAGACGCATTTCTTTTACGAGTGACATTTGGATACTGTTGTATACGTATCTAAGTAATAATTAATAAATTGAGACAATTTTGAGAGCAGTTATTTGCAAATCACCGTTGGGTAATCGTTTTCTTAACAACAAAGTGGGTCATCTATACTAGAATCACCGAACAGAGGCAGTGATCACGTGAAAGTCGGATGAATAGCCTGCGGTAAAGCTTTATTGAGATAATGTCCAACTTATATTAGTAAAATCATGAGGGTACGCGTTATATTGATAATAATAATTCTAGGGGAACCACTACAAGAAGTTTGACTTATTCACTCGTTGCTTGGTAAAATCGTCAATACGACAAATATCTTCAAGTCCAACTAACCCCACAAAAATAAAACTACAAGAATGAGCCCTAATACATAGCGAGATTTTTCTAACCAATAGTAATGCGTTGGTGTTGATCTGTATCAAATCTGGAATAAAAATTAGTGTCATATTATTCTTCCCTCGCTAGTGAAGTTAATCGAACAAATCCACTTTTTTAGTGCTAGTCACAGTGTAAGATAAAAAAATGTCCCATAAAGGAGTCGAACCCGCAACCTAACAAAATTGAGTTCATAACTGCTTGCTTAACACCCCTCTTATAGCCTAACATGCAAAATTTTTATTTTTTTGCGAAAATCAGGAAGGTTAGGGTAAAAAATCAAAGCAGATTTATAAACAACAAGTACACAGTATGTTATTTTATAAAATTTAAATAACATTTACTATCCAAAATTTTGAGGTGACAAATTTTGGTTAGTGTTTTACCACTTCGGTGATATCTCTAAAATATATGTCCAATACATATCAACACAGAAGACGACAGCGAGACCAAACGGGACCTATTTTTTCTTTCCCTAGGAGACATGAAAGGTCGAAAAAACACGAAAATATCCGCTTGGCGGATGAACACTTACAATAAATACGTAAGTAGTTTCCGCTCGAGAAGTAAAAATCACCTGTATTTGTTTGGCGGCAGTTTCGATTAGAAATTCACGTTGATAATTGTTTATTCATTCCTAAAAAACGTTCTCAAATTTTACACCATTCAATGTGTCAACACAATTATTAAACAAATTTCTTTTCGTTTAATTTGTTCGACGATCACTCGTTAAAATAAGAATACATTGTTAGAGCACAGATTTCGACTTATTTCTAACAATCTTAAAGAACACCATGAACTTCACGTAATCGATCCAGAGATTATTTATCTGACAAATTCGCGAATATACAGACACCAGACAACAAATTGATAGATAAACAGTCTTAGGACAGATTAGATCCATTTTAACTGCGCACTCTACCATATTTTAATTTCATGTTTCTTAAGCTTTCCATGGTTCAGAGATTAAGAAATGGAGCGGCCCTTTTTTGGAAAATTTGAACGCATGTTCTCCAATTACCATGCATAAGGCAAAATGCTGTTACGAAATAAACCCATACGACACCCTGGTATGACGCCTATGGGTTCTAGAAAATATACGGCGACGATGATTCATTGTCCGTGACGTCGGCCGGAGAAGAGTCTGGAAGCGGATGTCGCGACGAGTGTTCGAGAATAAGTCTAGAAGCGGTGATGGAGACTTTCGAGAGTGTAGTCCAGACAACGACAGTACAGTCAAGTTGCGCCCGAATTATTTTGTACATAATCGCTGTGTAATAATCAGTGTAATTCGAGTTATTAAGAAATAAATTGTTGAGTTTAACCCACAACGTAACAATACCAACGAAGTCTATGTTCTCACCTAATACACGTAAACTATTAACAGCAAAATTTGTGTTAGAATCTTTTCAAATAAAACTTTTATGGTATGCTCTAACCTACGTGGATTTACAAGTAGACAATTCGTTATAAACAAACCTTTAGTTTTGCTTCAATTTATTAACTTTTTGGTTTAGGTTCAGTTCTAATTACAACCGACAGGTGGTGATAGAGTTAATTACTAATTCGGATGACTAACGTGCGCAATAATTTAGTCACTGTTTGATGTGCTACCATGTCTGCTTCCACCTAAAAACGAATTTATAGAATGTTGTAAAACAGGTTACACGAGATAAAAAAATGAGTGTATTGTAATTTTATCGGAGTATTATATTCACCCTCACCAAAGTGGATGGTGCGGTGATCTCGAAAATGCTTATTCAATTTCTCTGATATTCCAGGAACACAAATACTTTATTGATTATTATATGAAAATATGTCATTATTCAGGAACAACCATGTGTTGTACTTATGTAAATAACTTCATAATTTTTTTCAGGTAGAGTTCTTCTTTGGGCACTCAAAACTCTGCATAAGTGTACGAATTTTTCATTCTCTTTGAAGATATAAATTTATTTCTAAGAATTAAAATTTACTTTAAGGTTGAAAAATAAAATAGAATATATGACTACAGTAATAAGGCTTCTTGTGTCAGTTGTAGATCCTTCTATTTTCATCAAATTTATCATAAGATTTTAGATGGTGTCATGCGGCTCTCATAAAGAGTTAGACCTATTCAAATTAGATTACAGGAAACAATTTATTGCACAGTAAAAATACACACTAAGTAGTTTTACGATAGTGAAACAGATATGTAAAATATTCATTGACGCTTTAAAGTTAAAGCTATGCTCAGAGTTTACCTAATTTCTGGAGTGGAGTAAATTGCTCAGTATTGATTGCCCATTGATTTTCTGAAGTTTAAGTCTCATAACTCTGTTATTTCGTTTCTACTGTAAACAATTTTATTATTTCATAGTCCTTTAGATCTCTTGCTGTAGTTAAATATATCCTTCATAAATATGGTACATAACTCTGCCACGACCCCTACCTCAAGCGCATAACCCTCTTAAACGTTGGTAAATAATTTATATTCGCACATTTATTATAAACAGTATTTTCTGGATTTTGGACACAGGGAACTGCGTACTATACTACTACAACAAAAATACCTACAACAATAACTATCTCCGAGAAGCTTTCACCTTGAAGTTCGTATTACTTCATTACAATATAATATATAAATGTGAATAAACCAACTTTGTATTCGTAGATTATATATTAAAATATATAAAAATTGCTCTAAAGAGTTTAAACAATATTTACTCACCAGACACACCGCGACGCAGACCAAAATGTTTCCGATAATGGTCCCTATGATGATGATCACCAGAATGGTGGTAATAACGATGGTCTCTGCTTGGTTGTATCCGTTATGGTGAGAGGTCTCATTCGTCCCATTGATGCCCAAATCTTGAGTTGTGTTAGCCGCCATACGAGAATCTATTGATTTAGGCCCATAGTAACTGACATCCTCCACATTCCGGCTAAATATAGAAGAGCGATCCTTCTTAAACATTCAGATTCTCCGATGTTTTATTCATGGGTGAAGATGTTATTACGTAATGTAAGCAAAATATTGGTGGATGGAGTCTTTCCGTGGGAGTACAGGTTGTGATTTAAGAGCGGACTCTCGTCGGTGTAATTTACTTTTAACACTTGCAATGGGGTGGATTCTGTTAAGTGTTTTTCCTCGGAAATTATACGGATTGCTTCGGGGTTGGATTTCTTCTGACTAACCTGGAAAAAATGCAATTTGTTAATGAAATTTGATTAAAAGCAGATTAGAGGAATTGCGTTCCGGACACGGAGTGGTTGTAATAAATTACGGGAGAAGAGCGTCTTATGAATAAATTTTCATTTTTTCGGATTCAGAGATGCAAAATAATGAGGTAAAAAGTTTCTCTTAACGGTCTTGTAAATCTTGTAACGGAAAAATTACTTCAAGTTTGTAAATGCGAAAGATTATTTTAAATAACAGACAGAAAATTTGGTGAACTGTTGCGGCCACTTTGTTACTTTGAGTCATCAGACAGTGTACAGATATTTAACAGTTTTTATTATGCGTTAATATTCAAACATTCGATATTATATTTTAACTTTTGTTTGAGATTTATATAATTTTTGCAACTATAAACCGTTTTTAACAGACATAATAGGGACTAAGATTATTATACAAGATAGAGAGAAGTGTTGATTAATATATATTACTATAAGAAATAATCATGTTCAAAATATGTAAAGACTAATGTTTAGACATAAACTTGCAAAAGTGCGTCAAATAACATCCCTTAATTCAAAAAGATATTTATAGTTTCAACAGGATGGTGCTACTATGCTGCTATGACGAATAAGCGTAAGATTTTGTCAGGGAATTATCTTGAACAATTCAGGTCTATAAGAAAACTAAATCAAACAGCGTTGACATTAATCATTTTTAATAAATAATTTTCTCGGTTTTAATTACCATTGATTTTATAATAAAAAAATCATTACAGCGTGGGTTCTACGACAGCGTTCGTAACGATTTTACAAGATATTATTAAATAAATTTCCTTTGGAAGCCAATACAAATATTTCCCACGCAGACAACCCACACTTTTTCAGTTTGCACAAACTATCAAACATTAAAATCTTGGAAATCAATTGACAATTTTACCGAAATTACTTAACACAATTTTTCAAATGGTTACTAAGATACCAGCACTGTTTTAGTTATAGGACGTTTTAGATGCAGGTAATAAGTTTTTTCTTAGCCTCCAGAAAGTGATGATAATAGCTCAGAAATTATTATTACAAGTTATTATTAAGGGCTAAGCCCTAAACGAGATAAAGTGCAAAATATATTTTACCATTGAAACCAGAAAGGGTAAACTTAATTTTTGTGTTAATTCTTTAATTGTATAAAAAGGCATAGGCGTACATGGGTTAAAATGTCAGAACATTGGTCACTTATTCGTAATCTCCCACGTCAATTTGACATAAAATATCCGTTTTACACTACGAAAAAGTTTTAATTTGGCCAACCGGTGGTTATTAATGAATGAAACAAATTTTTGTGTTGGCAATTCTGAATTATTGACAACCGTGCTACTACGTCACTTCACAGTTGTAAAGCACGTCTAACAAATATGTTGATTGGTTAAAGCGATGGCAACTCATCGCCTAAGAACTTGTTTGATCTACAGAGCAGAGCGCACTCAGGCCAATTTCGACTTTAAGCTATTTATCTATAATCCTACTTTCATTACATTTATCCGTTGATGCCCCCCAGGAGCTGATGATGTCATCTTACAATTTTGTCGAATAAATATTATTTAAGTGTTATTCGAATTTTTCAATATTTCAGTTTTGGACTCTTCCAATTTTCTCATTCTTCAAATTTTCGGTTACTCGATTTTTTATTTTTCGATTTCTCAATTTTCCGATGTTTAAATGATATACGATTTCTCAATTTTTGTCCTCTTCAATGTTACGATTTCTAAATATTTCGATTCTTCAATTTTTCAAATTTTGACATTTATAAATTTTCAGTTTTCCGATCTCTGAACTAATCTTTTTTTTATTTTCCCATTTCTCGACTTCCCAAAGTTTCGATTTTTCACTTCTTCAATTCTTCAATTTTTCGATTTTTCAGGTTTTCCATTCTTCAGTTTTTCGATTACGATTTTACGCTTACGATTTTTTGATTTTGTTGTTTTAGTTTTTCAATTTATCAATTTTACAATTTTTTAATTTCTCAATTTTGGATATTTCTTTCAGTTTTGGTATTTTCCATATTTCTAAATTTCAACTTTTCGGTTTTTGGACTCCTGGATTTTTTGGTTTCTCGATTTTTTACTTTTCGGATTTTCTACTGCTTTAGACTTCAATTTATTAAATTTTAACTATTCGATGTTTCAATTTTTAAGTTTTTCGATTGCTCGAATTTTCAGTTCTTCTATATCTCAATTTTACAATTTTCTGAATTTTTAATTTTCGATTTTCCAATTTTTCTTTTCTAAAATTTTTCGATTTTTCAATTTTTTCATTTCTCGATTTATCGAATTCAGATATTTCGATGTTTCGATTGTTCAATTTCTCGATTCATCAATTTTTCAATTTTTAACTTTTCTTCTCGGGCTTCGACTCCTCGAGTTCTGGATCCTGGCTGGATTTTTCGATTTCTCCATGTCTCAGTTTTTGAATTTTTCGATATTTCGATTCTTCAATTTTTCAATGTTTTAAATACTGGAGTTTCGATTTCTTGACCTGTCGATTTCTCAATTTTTCGATTTTTAAATTTTAGATTTTCGAATTTTAATTTATTGATTTTTCAGTTTTGCGATATTTTAAATGTTCAATGTTTTAAATTTTGGATTTTTCGATTTGTCGAATTTTCAGTTCTATGTTTAAATTTTTCAATTTTCCGAATTTTTAAATTTCCGGTTTTTCGATTTTTTGAGAACCCGATTTATCGAGATTCGGATGTTTCGATGTTTTGATTGTTCAATCTTTCGATATACCAATTTTTCCACTTTTAGCTTTTCGATTTGTCGATTTTTGCCTATTTCGGTTTCACAATTTTTCGATTTTTTGAATTTTCGACTTCCCGATTTCTCGATTTTTTGATTTTTCGATTTCTCAATGTTTTTGAATTTTTCAATGTTTAAAATTTCCAATGTTTTTATTCTTAGAGTTTCGATTTCTCAATTATTTATTTTTCAGTTTTTTGATAGTTAAATTTTAGAGTTTCGAATTTTTATTTTTCGATTTTTCAGTTTTTCAGTATTTTTTAATTTTTCAAATTTTGACGTTTCTGAATTTTCAGTTTTCCGATTTCTCAATAAATCTTTTTTTTTTATTGTCTCATTTCTCGACTTTCCAAAGTTTCGATCTTTCAGTTATTCAGTTCTTCAATTTTTCGATTCCTCAGATTTTTGATTTTTGAATTTTTCGATTTTTCAAGTTTGCGATCGTTCGACTTTGCATTTTTGGTTTTTCAAGTTGTCAATTTTTCAATGTCTCAAGTTTTGGATATTTCTTTCAGTTTTGGGATTTTTCAATATTTCGTTTCTTCGACTTCTCAAATTTTTATTTTATGGATTTTCGTTTTTTAAACTTTAGATTTTTCAATTTTTTGACTGTTTTAGACTTGAATTTCTAAAATTTTTTACTTTTCTATGTTTCAGTTTTTCAATTTTTAAAATTCAAGATTTTTCGATTTCTCGAATTTTCAGTTCTTCTATGTTTAAATTTTTCAATTTTCCGTATTTTTAAATTTCCGGTTTTTCGATTTTTTGAGAACCCGATTTATCGAGATTCGGATGTTTCGATGTTTTGATTGTTCAATCTTTCGATTCATCCATTTTCCCACTTTTAGCTTTTCGATTTGTCGATTTTGGCCTATTTCGGTTTCACAATTTTTCGATTTTTTGACTTTTCGACTTCCCGATTTCTCGATCTTTTGATTTTTCAATTTCTCAATGTTTTTGAATTTTTCAATGTTTCGATTTTTGAAGTTTCCAATGTTATTACTTATTAGTTTTCGAGTTTCGATTTCTCAATTATTTATTTTTCAGTTTTTCCATAGTTAAATTTTAGAGTTTCGAATTTTTATGTTTCGATTTTTCAGTTCTTGAATATTTTTTAATTTTTCAAATTTTGACGTTTCTGAATTTTCAGTTTTCGGATTTCTCAATAAATCTTTTTTTTATTTTCTCATTTCTCGACTTTCCAAAGTTTCGATCTTTCAGTTATTCAGTTCTTCAATTTTTCGATTCTTCAGATTTTTGATTTTTCAATTTTTCGATTTTTCAAGTTTGCGGTCGTTCGACTTTGCTTTTTTGATTTTTCAAGTTCTCAATTTTTCAATTTTTTAATGTCTCAATTTTTGGATTTTTCTTTTAGTTTTGGGATTTTTCAATATTTCGTTTCTTCGACTTTTAATTTTTTTATTTTATGGGTTTTCCTTTTTTAAACTTTAGATTTTTCAATTTTTTGACTGTTTTAGACTTGAATTTCTCAAATTTTTTACTTTTCTATTTTCAATTTTTCAATTTTTAAAATTCTAGATTTTTCGATTTCTCGAATTTTCAGTTCTTCTATGTTTAAATTTTTCAATTTTCCGTAATTTTAAATTTCTGGATTTTCGATTTTTTGAGAACCCGATTTATCGAGATTCGGATGTTTCGATGTTTTGATTGTTCAATCTTTCGATTTATCAATTTTCCCACTTTTAGCTTTTCGATTTGTCGATTTTGGCCTATTTGGGTTTCACAATTTTTCGATTCTTTGACTTTTCGACTTTCCGATTTCTCGATATTTTGATTTTTCAAGTTCTCAATGTTTTTGAATTTTTCAATGTTTCGATTTTTGAAATTTCCAATGCTATTACTTATTAGTTTTCGAGTTTCGATTTCTCAATTATTTATTTTTCAGTTTTTCGATACTTAAATTTTAGATTTTCGGATTTTTATTTTTCGATTTGTCAGTTCTCCAATATTTTTTAATTTTTCAAATTTTGACGTTTCTGATTTTTCAGTTTTCCTATTTCTCAATAAATCTTTTTTGTTATATTCTCATTTCTCGACTTTTCAAAATTTCGATGTTTCAGTTATTCAGTTCTTCAATTTTTCGACTTTTCAGATTTTTGCTTTTTTGACTTTTCGATTTTTCAATTTTTCAGTGATTTAATTCCCCAATTTTTGGATATTTCGTGCAATTTTGTGGTTGTTCAGTTTTTCGATTCTTCAATTTTT